AACATCTGCTGAACTTCTGAACTTAGTTTCGTAGGCTGAGCTTTGGACTCGATTTGACACTTGGTGAGAAGTTGTGGACTTGGAGCTTCTGACTTGGTTAAGACTCCCACCAACGTTAAGTGACATGTGAACTCCAAATATTTGGATGTCGGCTGCGTGGGCTCCCCACTCAACCAGACATCTTAGCTTTTTGTCTGTCGCATGAAGCCATCTTGGTATGTTGGTCTGGCCTCGGTAGCATACGGCATTAGGCTTTGATTAATTATATATAAAAAATAAAACAAGACAAAGAACCTCTCAACCAACACTTTGGCCAACTTTGCAACCAACGATTTTGGCCACCTTTGCAGCCGCTATTTTGCATCCAACACATTGCAACCCACATTTTGCAACCCACGTGTTGCAACCCATCACTTTGCAACCCACATTTTGCATCCAGCATTTTGCAGCCAACATCCCAAGCTTTCCCACGTTTTGCATCCCGCACGTTGCAACCCATCACTTTGCAACCCACATTTTGCAACCCACATGTTGCATCCCATCACTTTGCAACCCACATTTTGCAACTCACATGTTGCAACCAACATTTTGCAACCCAAGCTTTGCATCCCACATTTTGCATCCCAAGCTTTCCCACGTTTTGCATCCCGCACGTTGCAACCCATCACTTTGCAACCCACATTTTGCAACCCACATGTTGCATCCCATCACTTTGCAACCCACATTTTGCAACCCACATGATGCATCCCATCACTTTGCAACCCACATTTTGCAACCCACATGATGCATCCCATCACTTTGCAACCCACATTTTGCAACCCACATGATGCATCCCATCACTTTGCAACCCACATTTTGCAACCCACATGATGCATCCCATCACTTTGCAACCCACATTTTGCAACCCACATGATGCATCCCATCACTTTGCAACCCACATTTTGCAACCCACATGATGCATCCCATCACTTTGCAACCCACATTTTGCAACCCACATGATGCATCCCATCACTTTGCAACCCACATTTTGCAACCCACATGATGCATCCCATCACTTTGCAACCCACATTTTGCAACCCACATGATGCATCCCATCACTTTGCAACCCACATTTTGCAACCCACATGATGCATCCCATCACTTTGCAACCCACATTTTGCAACCCACATGTTGCATCCCAAGCTTTGCATCCCACATTTTGCAACCCACATTTTGCATCCCAAGCTTTCCCACGTGACTTGCTGCTTCCTTTGTCCAAATGTTAGTCAACAAAACACCACTTTTGACTGCAACTTGCATTCATATATATAAATAACAAGACAATTGGATTCCAACCCAAACACTTGCAACCCAATTTGCAAAGAGACCAAATACTCCAGCCGACCAAGTTTGGGAATGCCAAAGTAAACCCACGTGGGTCCTCTCATGTCCAAGCCATTTCTTCAGCCAAGTTCAAAACCTCCCTTCTTGGTTTACATGCTGGCTACATTTCTTTTCCTCATTTTCTTCTTCCTCCTTCTTCTTCAAGACTCAAAACCGAGGGCACTGTTCAGAAATCCAGAAGTCATATTTCAGAAGCTCCAATCAGAAAACTTCCTTCATGAAAGTTGTTCGTCTACCTGAGGACTAAAATCTGTGAAATTTGTAGATTGTTCTCAATTTTCCTGATGCCTCAAAACGGGTTTCCATCTTTTGTGTTCAGCCATGGCTGCTGGGTTTCTGCAGACTCGGTTTCTGCATTTGATTTTAATATGTGATTCTCGGATGGTTGTGATTGCTTCACGAAACTTGCTCGAAATTGTGTTGGCTATAACATATCCAAAATTGAAGATCATCCAACCGTTGTAGTTCCCCCTGCCTTTATTTTTCTGAAGTATGGACTTGGAGACCACTTGACTTAGCTTGGATTTGGAGACCACATCCAAACAAAACCCTAATCCAAAAAACCCAGGTAAGCTAAATTCTCATGAGATGAGACCCTGTGGTCATTTTCTGTTGTTTATGTTGCCTTCTTGTTATAATCAAAGCAAAGATATATAGATAGATGGTGCCACTCAAAGACGTAGTACCAGCAGCACAGAACAACATAAACACAAGGTTCATACTTTTTGGACAAAAGTATGAAGACGTCATCATCATCGGAAGGCCTTCACAAGACATGCCTGGCACTCGTGGCAGATGAGACGGCGGCAGTTCACTTCCAGCTGTGGGGAGACGAGTGCAATGCATTCGAGCCGGGCGACATCATACGCTTGAGCAATGGCATCTTCTCTTATAACAGGAACAGTCTTCTGCTCAGGGCAGGTAAGAGAGGCAAAATAGAAAAGGTTGGAGAATTCATGATTGCATTTGTTGAGACACCAAACATGAGTGTGATTCGTTGGGTTCCTGACCCCAACAACTCTAAGAAGTACATACAGGAGGCTGTGATTTCTCCACATTCACGTATATTTCCACCCAAATAGTGATCCTCAAGTTGTTCTTATTGCTACTCTAACAGTTTAATTTGTCCATTTTAATGGGACTCGAAATGAGTTGTGAATGATTTTCGTTTTCATTTCTTGACGAAAGGATAGCGATTTCAAAGCAATCTTTCCTGGCATTCCAATAACATATTAGAATAAATTTAGAGAGGGAGAGAGAGAGTTTAATCATGACCCAATGGAAGCAATAGTAAAAACTAAAAAGAGTGAAAAGCAGAGGAATGGCAGTAAGCTTTCCATTATGTCTTGGTAATTTTATCATCCTTGTCATTATATATACATATCCAGTTTTTGTCTCTAATTATACACCCTATGCATGGTATCTAAATGTTAATTTTAAATACCCAAAAAAGAAATTAGCAATCCTAATTTCCTAAATCCCATCAAGCAATCATGCATGTTATCTGACTTATCATATCGCACACTTGATCTTATGCACTCATTTTCTGTAGAAGATAAAAAGGACTAGCTAATATTCAAATATTTCAACTTAGAGTGACATTAATAATTAGTCAAATGACTAATTAACTATTTAGTAAATGTTTGCTTGATGGTATCTCACTTTTGATCTCGTCCTTCACCATAGACTTTGTATCTGGGTAATGACCCACCACTACCCTCCGCAAGATCTTCAATATAACCTTCCTCTGTTACGCTCACAGGGTATGTGTGAACACCTTCCATGTCAACTAGGGGTGGGCATTGGAACCTCAAAATTGACGAATCGAATCGGTCTTAACATGTTCAATTCAGTTCGGTTTTATTATAATTTTTGGCTAAGAACCAAATTGAACCACATCGGACAAATAATTTGATTTTTGATTCCAATTCTAAGTGAAAACTGGACCGAATCGGACCATGTCCACCCCTAATCAACCACTTCTTTTCCACTGTAAGTTTTCCAGATATGGTCTCCTACAAAATGCATCGTTCGCATGCATTCTAAGCTTCGGAGTTGGTTGAACAAATTCTTTGGTATGGTCTGTTTGTTTGTGACATCCAGTATGCTTCAATGTGACAATGTCCCCTCTGTTACCTGGTATTGGATTCGATTGGATAAGTCACTAAATATGGAATGTGTTGAAGGATGAAATCAAAGTAGTGGCGAATGATTTTTCATTTTGGGGGGGATTAGGAGGGATGTGTAGGTGTTGATATCCTACCATCTTGTGCGGATTAGATATGAGACAACTTTTCTTAATGAGTACTTAGAGCAAGTGCAACGCAAGCCATTCTGCCCTTGCAATAGGCCCCCCCCAACGAGATTTGGACCTCCAGTGCGCAAAAGGCAGCCCGAGCAAGGCATGGGACCCACCAGCCCAAGCAAGTCCACAGGCAAAAATGGACTGGGCTATTGCCCTCAGGCTGCTGATGTCAGCATGATGTCATGCTAATGTTGATCAGTTCATAATTGTATATCATTTTGTACCCTTCTAGCGTAGGATTTGGTTATGTTATTGAGTTAAACTTGTGCTTTTAATCCCTTTTCGATTTATCATTCAGTTCATTGGGCCTTAGGTAGCAATGGTGGCTTTGGATAGAAAAAGATGCAAAATGGTGCAAAAACGAGCAGACTGAGTTAGCAATTTGTTTCGGCCTTAACTTCTTCCTCCCAACTTGTATTGGCCCAAATAATACGTGGTTGGAAAGAGGAGATTCTGAACTGCAAGATGGACTACTAAAACGTATCAATTGATGAAGCCAAGCCCAATCCATGGGCCCATCAAAATGCACACCATGCTCAGGATTGCAGCTGCCAGCTATTAAGCCTTGTCACCTCCTTTAAGTCATGTGCCTCACCCCGGCTGTAACTGACTTTGGACCCAACATATTGAGTAAAGTAGGGAGACATTCCAGCTATGAAAGTCTAAAGGAGAAAAAACAAGGCATTGTGGGAAACATGTTTGGATAAATCAAGAAATACTTTCCAGGCTGCTGGTGGGATTAGTTGGTACATGCTGGAGCTATTAAAGAGAAAGAATGTGCATGCATGTGAAGCAAAAAGAAAGGAAAGAAAAGAAATGAAGTCAATTCCAGTCTATTTTCGGCAGTCAACTTGCAAGGCCCAAAACGTACACTTGTACTGCTCAGATGGGAATGCATTCTTCATAAAAGTTGTTCCAATGGGTGTCTATTATGACATATCCAAATTTGAGCCCCATTGGATATATATTGAAACCTCAGGCCTTCCTACACCAAGCCTGGTTCAGAAGAATCGTTTTTTCCAGCAACCAAAAGAAAACCCACATGGGTTGGCAGCAAAAGGCAGCCACAATTGAACACCTTTAAAAATCCATGTGAAGAAAGCTTGAGGTGCAGCAGCAAAAGAAGTATGGGATGGAATTGATTCCAACCACACTAACATAGACAAGATGAAGTGAGAGTTATGGATTGTATTAAAAGAGGAATGATGGTGTTGGAATTCATCATGATGTTCCTCCCTCTTAGCCCTATAAATAGACAAGTCTTCAAGCTTCAAAACACTTCCATCAACCCCATACACTCTAGGTACACAGCATGGGATTCACAATCCCACACAATTCACCCCAGCCATCCTACACACTTCCATCATTCCATCAACACATCCAGAAATCATCCTCAAACATTCCCACAACCCCAAACACTCCAGCAATCAACCCAATACTCTAAACTACCCCAAATCACCAAAACAGCTCTAGAAAACCTCCATTCCATTTCCCTACGAATTTCCTATTTCTCAGCCATCACCACTCACCCAAACTCATCCCAAATCACCTACTAGCTGTCATACATCATTCTAGACGTGGGGAAGCTCTTGGAGAAGCATTAGACGTGGATAAGCACTTAAAGAAGTCTTGGACACCACAAGTACTTCAGAAAAGGGGTTTTTCTACTCTTATTGCATTCCTTATGTTTTCTCATTTCTATCTAAGTTTCTTTTCCATTATGAGAAACTAATTTCATAACTAGGGCTTCAATGTAACCTAACATGAATATTCTGGGTTTATAAGTTTCAAGTTTGGAGTTTCAAGTTGGATTCATGATTCATGTTCTTATTCATTATGCTTATCAATTAATATGCTTGTTTGAATGATTGATCACCATTAGAACTTGTATGGTTTGAATTAAGAGTAGACACCATGCTTTAATTCGAATTGAACTATGATTAGGAAGAGTATGTATGGACATTCGACAACATGGATTAGATACATACTTGGTTGTTTAAATTGTTCTTCTATGTTTAATGGGTTCTTAATGCTTAATTTTAGGTTAGACAACAGATGATCAAATTAGGGAATTAGAAACACAAGGTTAGAACCAGACACCATGGCCTAATCATATTTTAGCTATAATCAATCTTTGAATATGAATTAGACTTGTTACTTGACTCCTTATAACCCAGAATTGAATTGTTATGGTGATTCAAATGCCCTAGTCTCCAAATCTGTTTTCCAGCTCTTAAAACCGCTCTTTGTTACACTTACTTACTTTGCTTTTGTTTGCAATTTCATTTTGCTTCTTTTATTCAACCATCACAATCACTCTTGCTTTAATTTCTGTTTTAGACATAACCTCCTACTTTTTCTTGAATTTGGTAATCTAAGTACATAACTAATTTTAACTTCTCAGTCCTCGTACGACCTCGTACTTGTCTTGCTATACTACTAATTGCCCCATACAATTGCGAGTTAACATAATATTAACAACAAATTTTGGCGCCTGTTGGGTTCATTTTTACACATGATTTATCATGTTATTCACCCATTATTTTGAGGTAGTTCTTGACATTTTATAGCTTTTTACTTTCTTTTTGAATTTTCATAGATTTTAACTTGGTTAGAATGAAAATGAGCTAAAAGTGCATTATTAGTTATAAATTCTGTTTTTGTTCACTTTCGTAGGTCAACTACTTGGCCTTGGATCAGCATGCTCCGGTGCTCGGATGAGGTGAAGATCTTCATGACACTTGTTCCAATGGATGTTAACTACAACATATCCAAATTTGAGCTCAATTGGACAAGTATAGCCCATCCAACCGATCTTACATGTTACAACGGCTCTGGAAATTTGTCTTGGGCCAGTTTTACCTCCATAATGTTATGTTGATTCTTCTTGTTACCATACCACTTGGTAACAAGAAATTACTTTGATTGAGTGTAATTTCTGAGACAAAGAGCATCTTTGTGAAGACAAAAACTCATCATGGCAAGGAGACAAGGAGGAAACAAAGTCAAAAGTACCATGATGAAAGGAGGTGAGAGATGAGAGCATAGAGAAGGCATCTTCCTTTAGGCAATTGACTTGGGCAGATTGTAAGAAGGAGGAATGGATCATTCATTCAGAATTTGGCAAAGATTTTGAGAGCTAGAGAGAGCTAGAAGGAGGAGAGCAAGGAGCAACCAAGGAGGGGGGAGAATGGCATAACAATTGGAGAGAACCTTGGGGAGCCTTGAGGCAAGGATCCAAGGGGTTAAAGATGCAATTCTCTTTCCCCTCTTTGTTCTTAGTTTCGTTCATTTTATTTGTTGATTGTATTTTCTTAGTTTCAATGTAACTTCTTAATTTTCTAGGGCTTTGGTTGAAGCCCTAAACATGATTACTCCATGTTTTGATGCTTTGAGTTTATGAAATTTTAGATGTTGTTGATGGATCCCTTTCACTAATTGAATCCTATGATATGTGTTGCTTCCTTTGACTGATCACCTTAGGTTGTATGCATGTAGCTAAAGTTGAGAAGTTGTGTAAGATACCCGAGAACATAATTTCTAATTAGCAACAAATGATAGAACTTGTAGGAAAAGTGAACATCATGTGAATTGGTTTCTTGACAACAATTGATGAATTCCTCTTCACTAAAATAATCTATCCTTGATGTATGTTTTTCCTTGGTTGGCTATCTTTGAAAGCATGCTTCTTGAGATTGTTGGGATTATGTGTATCTTCATATTGTCCTAAGCAATAAATGGATGAAGTAAGAATCATATGTGAATTGGTTTCTTGAATACCTAATGTAAACATCATGCTTTAGGGTTTTTGTGATGTTCATATTCTCTTTGAACTTAACGGGT